ACCGTAGGACCTCCTACTGAACTGATGTGCTCCTCGGAAGCAGCAAACTTTTATGTTAAAAAAATCTGTTTACTTAACTACTGATAAAAAACAACCATACTTGTTAATATGGAAGACGATTGGGATTAGGGTAATCTCAGAATTTTTCCTTAAAACCTCAGAATTCCGACTTTGATCTCAGAATTCTGACTTTGATCTCAGTATTCCGAGTTTTTTCCCAGAATTTTGACTTTTACGATCTCAGAATTCTAAGATTAAAGTCAGACTTTAATCTTGAAATTCTGAGAACAGTGTCAGGTTTCTCACTTTAAGCTTTGAATTCTGACTTGTTTTGTTAAAAAAATCTGTTTACTTAACTACTGATAAAAAACAACCATACTTGTTAATATGGAAGACGATTGGGATTAGGGTAATCTCAGAATTTTTCCTTAAAACCTCAGAATTCCGACTTTGATCTCAGAATTCTGACTTTGATCTCAGTATTCCGAGTTTTTTCCCAGAATTTTGACTTTTACGATCTCAGAATTCTAAGATTAAAGTCAGACTTTAATCTTGAAATTCTGAGAACAGTGTCAGGTTTCTCACTTTAAGCTTTGAATTCTGACTTGTTTTGTTAAAAAAATCTGTTTACTTAACTACTGATAAAAAACAACCATACTTGTTAATATGGAAGACGATTGGGATTAGGGTAATCTCAGAATTTTTCCTTAAAACCTCAGAATTCCGACTTTGATCTCAGAATTCTGACTTTGATCTCAGTATTCCGAGTTTTTTCCCAGAATTTTGACTTTTACGATCTCAGAATTCTAAGATTAAAGTCAGACTTTAATCTTGAAATTCTGAGAACAGTGTCAGGTTTCTTACTTTAAGCTTTGAATTCTGACTTTTTTCTCAGGATTCTAAGATTAAAGTCAGAATTCAGATTATTTTTCTCAGAATTAGAAAAAAAGTCAGAAATCAGGAAAAAACAATCTTTTTGTTCTGCGGCTCTAATCCTCTTTCGTATGTTAATGTTCTGAAGATATATTTTTTTCCAGGCTGACAGTTTTAAAGGACTATTTCTCAAAGTAATAAAAAGGTCATTTTGTTGGATTACCTGGATAAGTTTCAAGTATTATTCATTCAGTTTGTTTTTAAGCCAATCATTGGACCTGATGTGGTGACCGGTGTGCTGACAGGACAGTGTGAGCAGCGGTATTTCACATTATATTCACCTAATTAAACACAGCGGTGAGGTTATATTCACGCTGAAGCTGTGCAGGAAACAGCTGACGGCTGTCAGTGAACGGTGTTTCACTGCGGTGGATGTTTACAGGTTAAAACCTTCAGTTTTTGCTCCAACACTGAGCTGTGTGAAATCCATATCTGCAGATATGGAGGGGAGTGGATATCCAATCTCTAAAATGTTTTGAGATTTAAATTATGGGTGTGAAAAGAAATGGTCTGAACAACCACGTATCACATAATCACTAAATAATTATGCGTTTTGATCGTCTTTGCTGTTCTTTGCAGACAAGAGTGTGTATCATAAAGGAAAAAAAATGTAGAAATAAATGTCAGAATTCAAGGATTGTTCCAAAATCCATCTTCATCTCGTGTTATGACCTGACCAGCTCATTTTGTTTATTTGATCTCCCTTCAAAATAATTATTACGGTCAGCACAAACAAATAAAAATGCATCTGTTTTTTTTTTGTAAATCTGCAGAGATCAGACTGCACATGTCCAGACTCCACACTTCTTGATCCAAGGCGAAAGGAGCAATAAATCAACCTCCAAAGATAGGTATTCTCTTTAATCCAATCAGATGGCATAATCAAGCACAATGCCAGTGATTTCTGCCAGCCTTGTGAGATTTGTTCCAATTGAGCGGTCTGTCAGAGAGGCTTTGATTGCATTTGGAGCTCGGGCTGATTTCTGAGTCGTGGCATAAAGTGATGTTTTTTATTTGTGCCCTTTGGAGATTTAGACCCACAATAGCCCAGAGTTCTGTTGCTGAAAGAGTGAGATAAAAATTTGCTTATTTTGAAAGGGTCTAATTTTCAAGTGCTCATGTTCATCTATTGCTCCCCCTCACTAACACCCCCAGCCCTCTTTTTTTCTTTTTACCATTTCAAATCCCTCCATGGAACATGATCCATCATTTTCTTCACAAATGTTAGATGTGAGGCAGCCTGCAGTGCACAGATGCAATTCATTCAATTCTTCCAGTTTATTGTTGTGGAGTTTCAGCATCTTGGACAGACTTTAATGTTTAATTAATCACAGCAGCAATTAATCCTAACTTTATATGAATCGCCATGAAAAGCAGGTCATCGTGTAATTCTTTGTCTTTGTTCATTTGTGTTTTGGCTAAATTGCTGAAAGTCTCAAGGAAATCACTGGATATAAATAATTAATTCCAATAAGATGGCCACCACAGCCAAAGAAAAATAACCTTAAAGTGCCCATAAAACACACACCCTTCAAATACAAAAAGTTTAAGAAACGTCTTAAAATTTAAGAAGCTTGGCATTATACACATACTTTACACATTTTGTCACATAACTAGCAATTTTTTTTGTTGAATTTGGCTCAGCTAAAGTGAAACAGGAAGTGACATCAAAGGGAAACTCTTTAAGAAAAAGAACTCTCTGGTCTTTATTCATTATTATTTGAACTCTGAGTCTTCATCTCAAAATAATCTAAAAGAACTTCAGATTATTCTCTCTAGTCTGTGTTGTTAGTTATGTAGCTCTATTCAAATATAAACATTCCCCTTTGACATCACTTCCTGTTACTTCACATGTGAATATCTCAAGAAATGTTCATCTCAGCGGTGTGATTTTTYCCCCCAAATATGTTTTTAATGCCATCTTTTCAAAATACATTCATACTCACTAGAAAAAACTTGATGTTGCAGACCCTTTAAACTAGTTAATTTACTGATATTTTGTTATAACTTGGTGTGATAGTAGGTGAGGGTCATCCCCATCACATAGTTTGTGTGTGATAATAGATCATATGTTATTTGTTTCTAACTTTGGGRTGTAAGGCAGATATGAATTCCTTAATTTTGTTATTTTTTTGACCCTAAGAATAAGAGAAAAGGAACAAACCAGTTGCCACCACACGGTTGCTCCGACACCGTGTGAAAAACAAACTTTGGTCGACTGTTCGTCCTTTCAGTCCCGACCCCCACACCCTCCCACACGTCACCCTGTGCCTCGCAGGCTGTAATTACTCATAATTTTTGACGGCGGTAGGTGAAGTCTAAGTTTCACCAAAGTCTATTTTGATCGTTGGTGTTTTAATGATCTCCAATTTTCTTTAATGTTACGCTTTTGTATATTTCATTTGTGTTCATGAGCCGTAATGAGACCGCAGGGAGCAACCCTGCGAAGATCATGATGAAATAAAGTTACAGAAGAGAAAGAGACGTTTAAAAGACAGCATGAATCCATATAACTGAGGAATGATTTGATGTTTAGTTTAATGTTCTTTACCCCTCTTTCTATAAGTACTAAAAAAGTTAGTGTTTTTCACTTTACAGGACAGGTGGCAACATACAGATCTGACACATGTTGATTTAACCTCTCAAACCCCAAGATGCTTGAGGTTAACTAAATTCCTGACTTTTTTCTTTAACAATCAGCTACCACTGTTTTTGCTGACTTTCGTCTCAGAGTGGAAGCATTGATGACGCTGCCTTTATTTGTGTTTTGTTGTAGTTTTGGATGTTAAGTCTGAGAGAAAACTGCAAATGATCCCAATATCAGAGGGTAGAAGCGAAATATTCTAGTTTTGAAGCTAACTAGAGTTTTAACAAACTGTCATTTTTTAATTAGTTTGTACTTCCCCTATTGATTAGAAACACAAATTGTGTCCAGATGTCTGTGTTCACTTCCTGTTAAGATAATCTTCACTGTGTCACTATTAATGTTAATAATTTTAAAGCAAATTTTAAATTTTCACACTTCTTTTATCTGGTAACTCTTCTCTAATCTCTGTGTCAATCAGACAGATTCTAAGACTGAAAATATTTAAAGTTGAAAACAAAAGGTGCTCCATCGAGTTAGTCTCTCTTTAGAACAGGGGTGCCCAAACATTTCCCCTGAGAGGGCCGGAATTTAAACAGATCTGAGGGCTGCGGGCCAAATGCTAAATTATAATACATGAAATGCAAATACTTCTTACGTTTTTTTATTTTTTATTATTAAGCTAGCAGCCGGAGTGCTTATTTATTTTTTTTAGGTTATGGATGAGGAGACAATTTGAAGTACACTTGGGCAGCAAAGGCTCATGGGACTTTTCATAAATTTAAATTTGAATATTTGTGGTCTTATAAAGTGCAAATTTAGACATGTCCTTAAATCTACTCTAAATGTCTTTTGTAGTTACTTGTGTTTTATGTTTAATCCTAAAATAATTTAAAGGTAAATTTGGTAGCATGAGTTAAGACCATGCACTACAGCTCCATATAGTATAGTTGGACCAATGATTGGAATGACTACATGAAAATGTAGTGTTTCTATGTAAAACAGGAGATCATTCTGGACAACTGCTGATGGACAGATCAGTTTTTGCCTTGTGGCAGTCTCAACATTCCTTTACTGCCTTTTCCTGATATCATTTAGGATCTWTTTTGTTTTCCTAAAGCTTATAAAGTTTGTCAAATTACAGAAAATGAGGAACTTTAACCTGTGTGGAGAAAGAAGTAATGAAGTTCTGACAACTACTGGGGGCTGAAAACTAAAATAAATGAAGGGATAATAAACACTAGGTGCAAGGAACACACACACAACTTTGTATTTCTATCCTTATTAGGACTGTTTGTAGACTTCAATTCATTTTCAGTTGTTTCTGTAGCCTAAACCTAACTCCCAACCTAAAAATGAAGCTCCATCATACCAGTCTTTGGACCCAACAAGGACTACTGGTCTTGACAAGGTATACCAGAACAGTCCTAAAAAGGTAAATACAAGTACACACACACAGGCGGTGGAAGGGTTGATACTGTACCTTGATTGGCTTCAAAGTTGGAGGTGGAGGTGGTGATGATAGTGGTGGTAGTGATGATAGCTGAGGTGGGTATAGGGGTGGTGGTGGGAGCATCTGAATGAGAGGACAAATACATGTCAAACACAAAGCGTGAGGGTGTGGGGGGAGGGGGGAGG